GGGACACGATCAAACGTGGCCTCAAAGCAGCCGTATTCTTGCAGGGCTTCCAGGACTTGGGATTTCGCGGCCTCCCATGTTGGAGATTGTTCTTTAATGTTGGATAAATTTATGAGCGGGAGCTTTATGTTTTCAGAACCCATAACTTTTGCTTGCATTTTTACCTTTTTTTTTTTTTAACAAGTTTGGGAGAATTTTGGGAGAATTTTGTTTTTAGAAAATGGAGCAAACATGTAGATATAAATGAATGGTGGTTTCCTACATGTCACCCACCTTTCATTTCATTTCTGCAAGGACATATGGACGGATGGATGTTGGGATACGGATAGGTTCAAGATGATTCTGGATAGTGGAGCGGGAGGACAGTTTGGACAGTATGACGTGGAGACTTACATCTTTCGGTGCATTACTACGACATTGCTTGGGGGTAAGTACGGCTGGGAGATCGGCCTAACCTTCTCTTTGGGGCTATCGGGACCGACCTACTTACCCCAACTATCTCTGTTTTTTCTATGGCGTATTCTTCTGCACCGCCCACCGATTGACATTGTGATGTAGCGAGGGGGTTCTCATTCTCCTCATGTTGTTATTGTTGTGCTGAGACCGACTTCCAGACTGAGACCTTCATTTATTTGTTTTTTGAGAGTGAGACTGTGAGAAGAGTGTGAGAGCATTATTCCAGTTACACTCATATATCCTTACCCACAACCACCGGCGGATTTACATAGGGGCCCGTAGAGGCACGGGCCCCTAAAGAATTTTTAACAAAATAGTATATATATATATATATTATATGTATATAGATATTATTATATTGACATAAAAAATACATGTTATTAATTATAATGCAAAGTTATTTTGATATAAAAAAATAAAAAAAAAATGTTTATAATTATTTAACTAATATATTATTTTTTAAGTTGTGGAATTTATGTTATAATCAACTTCTTGTTTATTTTCTTTTGATCGAAATACATAAAAAATAAATATTTTACATAGATATGTACACTATATAGGGATTGGATCGAATGTGCTCATATTCTTGAAATTAGAATGTGAGACTCAACTCTAATTATTAAATAAGAAAAACAAAAGTGTTTGGTTAAGATTTAATCTTATTACTTATTTTAATTGGTTAAATCTTAATTTGACCGTTGACTTTCGACATTGACCGTTATTTGTTCCCCCGTTGTTTTCAAAGCCTGCGTCCGCCCCTGCCCACAACAGATAACTTCATTGAGCTTATGAGTTTTTTGCATAAAGCACACACACTAGACACGTGGACTTTCTTATTCCTTGTCTGATCCTTTGGTCAACCTGGACAGAAACGAATAATGTGAAACATAAGGATATTACCTTTTTGTGTTCCCATATTATTTTGCAGGTTGACAGACACTTTTCTCTCCTCAGCGCTCTGGGCAGACTCATGCCGAGAGACTGGACAGGTTGCATGTCACCTCATCATTTTGCACCACCGCCACATCCGTCTGTCCAACACCCACGCCCCAGAGCTATTGTTTGGCTGAGACCCGAGCCTCCTTGGGTTCAGCTAAACACTGATGGATTATTTGACCGACTTACCGGAGCCGCTGGAGGTGCAGGTCTGATTAGGGACCATAGCGGCACTCTTATTATCGTTTTCCATGCCCTCTTTGGGCCTCTTCGAGCTACGACACGGAGATGCAGGCGCTTCAGATCGGTGTTCAGATTGCTGCCTCGATCTCCTCTCACATTTGGATAGAGTTGGACATTGTCGCTGTTATCAATCTCTTGATTACTGACCATCAGGGCACATGGCAGATTCAACATCCGCTCATGCGTATTAGGGCCACTCTTCGGTCGATTCGGTTTCAGATCTCGCACATCTTCTGTGAAGGAAATCGTCCTGCCGACTTCCTCGCAGGCATCAGAACCTCCATCTCCCAGAGGCGCATACTTTATTCTGACGATATTTTTCTCCGCCTCAGTTGTTTACACTATTTTATTTCTTAAATATTAATACTGCTAGTGAATTAAATCATAGAGTTTATTTTAAGTCGTCCGCTACTTAGGTTTAATCGAATAGTTTATTTCGATAAAATATTCGGTAAGAGAAAATTTGATTAACAAAGCTTAGTTGTTAGCTATAGTTCGTTATCAATTTAAAGAAAGCGTCGAAATTAATTAACGGTAAATTTAGGTAAATTTAGGTTGTGGTTCAAATTATGTGAAGTGTATGAGTGCTATGATCCATGAGGTAGCTGAGTATCATCCAAAGATATGTGAGCCTTTGTATATATATAAATACTTTATGTATTTTAGTTTCATTGTTTAAAATTTTGATAAGTTAGCATGTGTAACAACTTTGTGAATAATAGTAGTGGATAATAGTAGTGTTGTAGCCATGGTAACGGAGAATGAGGATAACCTTGGGCTCAATGGAACCATTATTCAGGCTATTCGTGAGTTACTCAAGCAAGAGTGTTGTGTTCGATTGTCCCATATATATCGAGAAGGGAATTTCTCGGCCGATAAGTTAGCTTCGCTAGTTGCTGGTGTTCCGGTTAGATTTCTATCGCCTTCTATCCCCGTCGCAGGACCTTGGCCATTGACTGAGTCATGATATCTTAGGCGTGGCTCACTCACGTCGTGTGATGTTCTAGTGTCCGTTAGGCTTTGGCCTATTCTCTTGTACCAAGAAAAAAAAATAAAAAAATAATAATTAGATGTCATCATCTGATGTTGTTAATAGGATCAAAATTGCATAAACTCTCTTAATCATGGACCTAAAATTTTTGAGAAACAATACACCCAGGATATATAACTATATTTCAAATAAACCAGATTCAAAGCAAGGAAGAAATTGCACGCAACATTCACAATTTTTGCATCCAACACACCACTGGGAAGCAGATTCAGCATATCCATGAAACTACACACAACACTTAAAATACAGAATTCACACTTTTCAATACACTCAAATAACACACTTAATTAATTTGCACTCAAATTCCACAATATGCTTGAATGGCTCCTTTCATGGTTGCCCCACCTTCCTTGCAGTAGTTGAGAAACTCCAAATTGCTGAATGCTCTGAATCTCAACGGATTTTCTTCATCGACTAGCTCATCCGGTACTTGCAGTGTACCTCCAACGAAAGAGAAAATCCCGATCGAGTATTTCTCTTTCGCCCCTCTTGCAATGACTTTGTGCAAGGGACAATATATTCTACCATTGCTCCATGCCTAAATAATTTTCACAATTGGTCCATATGGTCACCAATAAATAGAATGTCGTTTAATTTAAGAACTCGACTAATTTTTCATTATAAGCAGTTCAGCGAAATTTCAAGTTCAAAAAACCATCTTACCGTAAGTGCTTCGCCTACTATGACGACAAATTTCCCAGGAGATGGCTCGTACTCAATCCAATTGCCATCGCGAGTTTCGATTTGCAAGCCCTCAACTTCATTTGTACCGATCACGGCCATAAAGCTCTTGTCCCTATGTGGTATGATACCAATATGGCTCTTGCTCTCACCCGGCGCATGGTACCTCATCAGCCTCGTCATGTAAATGGACGATTGAGTTAAACGATCGTAACATTTTTCCAAATTGTAGCTGCTAGCCACCATCTTGACAACCGCATTATTCAATTCCCATAAAAGCTTGGAATACGAGTGTATGGTCTCACTATATATCAATAAAAAAAAATAGTTTTATTTTATGTATCTAGCATAAAAATTATTCGAAAAAAAAAAAGATCAATATATACCAAAATTTGTTATGCCCATCATCGGGCCACATGAGGTTGGTAAAATTTTTGGCGCCTTCAGGAGTCTCACAACCCTCGACTCCAAAGTACTCAAACAGGGGCATGACAGGGAAATTCGCGCCATAACCGAACCCCGGAAGTTGGGACACATGTCTACTTTTAGTTTCATACGGGAGGCGGAATAAATCCTTCGTGAAGTCGAATGCACGATTTTGGAGATCCGGGCCGAGTTCATGGTGAGCTAGCACAAAACACCCGTACGATTCAAGGGCCTCTCGGACAGAGTCCGAGGTTGATTTCCAGGAGGTTGTGCCCGGAGTCAGGCTCTTCTCGTTAAACTCGATCAACGGGAGCCTGGACGACTTTGCATGAGAATCCATATACTTGGTAATTTGATTTACTCTCGAAAAGGTTGAGTATGTAATGTAATGATTTTTTTTTTTTGTATTGTTATGTCAATAGATATGTCTGTGGACTGTGGATAAATATTAAATAGACGTCCAATTGCCGGGCCGCGGTGGGCCGGTTCATAGAACCGTCCCGAACCGCCGGTTCGGATATATATATATGTGCTCATACATTATTATTCCCTATATATATCAACTATATCAACCTTGTTACACTTCCTTTAATTGTTTTTTTTCCACATTAATTATATTGTTCTTACTGTAGATTTGCATATAATTAAACTTCACCTATCACCTCGAACCTCATCGAATATATATAGTTTCTTGAATAATTAAATGCATCTGGCAATATTATAAAATGAAAGTTATGAAACACTACACGAATTATTTGGTAATCAGTTTAAAAAATTACTTGGAACTGTGCGTAATAATAATACATAGATGAACAGAAATAAAATGAAAATTGAGTACCAGAGCATATATTACCATTCTATTCCAAATTAAACCATTCACATACAAAGTTGGAGTACATTTTCAAGCTCTTTATGATCCTTAGAATATTCAAAGCCCGAATAACACAACAAATATTTCATCAGTACATGCAAATTAATATAATCCAAACAAACAAAACAAACAAACACTGATCATAAAATTACATTGTGAAAAAGAAAAATAGTGATCAGATTCCACAATACGCCTTAATGGGACACTTTGCACGCTTGCCCTCGTCGGTATAGTAGAAGTGTATGAACTTGTAGTGATCGAACGGCTCAAACTGCAAAGGGTTCTCATCGTCGACTAGCTCTTTCGCCACCTCTATTTCAATATCCTTAATAAACGTAAACAGGCCGACACAGTACCTTTCCTCGGACCCCTTCATCATCATCACCCGGTGTTGGGGAGCTTCGATTCTTCCGTTAGTCCATGCCTGATAATCAAATATCAAAGTAAATATATCATATATATATGGACCTAAAACATAAAATTGAACAAAAAGACTTCAAACCTTATTTTTGATAGCAAATTGATGTTTTGGTGGAGATTGATTTATGAAATGAAACAAAAAAACATAACTCACCATACATGCGTCGCCGGCCATGACAATGAAAAACTTAGGCGAAGGATCAACGACTATCCAGTTATGGCCGTTTTTGGCCTTGATTTCGAGCCCGGGCACTCGGTTTTGGTGGAGAATGGTCATGAAGCTCTTGTCCGTGTGCGGGACAATACCCAAACCACTTTCGTTTTCGTTAGGCTTTCGGTATTTTAGCAGTCGAAGGAGGTACGATGTTTTTTCGAGCAATGCCTCGTAGCTATTCGTTATGCCATAGCTTTCGGACACCATTCTCATCACAACTTGGTCTAGTTGGGCCACAATCTTAGAGTACTCTAAAGTTGTTTCACTATATATAAATGATCACGAAATTAAATTAAATTAATTAGTAGTGCATATATATACCACAAAAGAAAGTATGTATTTTGTTAATTTTTCACAAATTATTGTATGAAACAGTTAATTTCGACTAAGTTAAATAATACCGGAAAGTACGATTCCCTGACGGCCACATGAGCTTGATAAAGTCGTCGACTCCCTGGCGTGTGGTGGCATTTTCGATCCCCAAACCTTCGTACAACGGAATAAGTGCCACCTGTCCCACGTACCCATGCGAAGGGGTCTCGGAAATGTTCTTCACTTTCACGTCGATCGGTAGAGACAATAACTCCTCCGCCGCATGGAAAATCGAGTCGTGCATGCCGGGCGCAAATCTGTCGCATATCGCTAGGAAACACCCGTACACCTCAAGTGCCCGTACAACATTTGCGCTCGTCGATTGCCAGCTGGTCGAGCCCGGGACTATACTGTCCCCGGCGAATTCGATTACGGGAAGGTTTTTGTGGTAATTTGCCAAGGAACCCATTGTTCTTAATTTTTTTTTTTCAGCTGAATTAAAGGTGAGGGATATGGTTTGGTAGGGATTGATCAAATAAAATGGCTGGGACTAAGGTCAGTAGTTTTTAGGGCATATTTTTATATGACTTTCTGAATTATATAAATTCACCGTGAAAATAGTACAATAGCCATTGACATATCTACAATTATGTGATTCAATGAGTAATAAATTTATAGATTAACGTGTAATAATAATAATAATAATAATAATAATAATAATAATAACAACTTATTTTTAATTAAAAAATAAATTAAAAATTGGAGAAGAGAAATGTGAATTGAATGAATAACTTATTTTATAATAGATTGATGGATAA